GAGGAGGAGGAGGAGGAGGAGGAGGAGGACTGGGAGGGGGAGGACGCGCGAGCCGTGCGTGTGTCCTTGTTCGGCCAACGGCGGCGGGCCAGAGGGCCACTGCCCGCGCCCGCGGAGGCCGCGGCCGCCGAGGCGGCCGCGGCGGCGGCGGGCGCCCACGTGCTGCAGCTGCAGGAGGGGTGTGGGGGTGGATGGGGCGGGGCAGCGGGGAGGGCGTGGAGGACACGTGGATGGGGAGGGAGGGAGGGAGGGAGGGAGGGAGCGAGGGAGAGAGCGAGGGGCGCGGGAGGCAGGGAGGTGGTGGTGGTGGTGGTGGTGGTGGTGGTGGCTTGGGTAAGCAATCTGGTGAGGCCGCGGGCACTGCCTCTTTAGCGGCACCTCCCACTCAGGGATGGCTGGGGGACAGCTCACCACCTGTCGCGGGGGTCTAGTACTGCAACGCCACGGCGCCACTTGGTCCGAGAGACTCCCAGGGGTACCTCCCCTTAGGCACCCTCCCCGCCCCACCTCGACCACAGGAATGCCCAGCAATACCAGCCCCCAAATACTTGGGAGCGGGATATCCCAGAACAGGAGGGCGCTTCAGCTGGGGTCCCGACCCAGGACGAGGGGGACAGGGGGATCCATCCAGGGCAGCCCTGGTGGCCACCCGTGCCGGGCAGAACCTGTGCCGCAGAGTGGGGATGGACAGCGCGAGAGCTCCTGCTCACCTCCGCTGGGGCCTCGCCCGTCCTAGCACATCCCGGATGCCACCGCAGGGCGCAGCTGCGAGGCGATGAGACATGACTGGAAGAGGCCCTCCCCGAGTGGGTGCCCCCCGCCACCACCCCGGCTCGGCATCGGGACGCGGCCCGGCCTGCGGGGAGAGACAGGGGGGGAGAAAAAGCCCCCTCGCCCACCCCGAAACCCCAGAGGGCGGAGGAGGAGGAGGAGGGGAGGGAGCACAGGCGGAGGCCACCCCCGACCCCCGGAGAAGCCCCGGAACGCCCAGGCGGGAGTGTGTCCGCACACCGCAGATGCGGACTCACTCCCGCCCAGGGTTTGGGCACTTCTCCGGCAGCTGGGGAGCCATGCTGCGACTCCTCCTTTCGGGGCGGCGACCGCATGCGCTCAATCTCGCCCTACCCAGAACCGCCGCTGCTGCTTGTCCATGCCCGCCGCGAGTGCGACCGCCTCCGCGTAACCAGCCTCCGTGCCACTGGCGTGGGGGGGCATGGGGAGAACACCCTCGCGCTGCGCCCACCCCAGGGACGAGCGGATGCGCTGCACCTCCTGCGTGTTCGGTAAGGCACCACCCAGCAGCCCCGCCTGCTGTTCCAGCGCATGCCCCTCCTGCCTCAGCGCTGCCCAGCGGCACCCAATCAGGGCATCCGCCTCGTCGTCACCTGTGGGTCCCAGACCCCGTCCGTGAGGAAACTCTGCGAGGAGTGCGGCCAGGGCGGCTTCCATGCCCACGTCCCATTCCACCCCGCCGGACCTCAGATGAGCCAAGTTCTACGGACAGGGCCAAGGTTGCGGGTCGGCGGCGCAATTCTGTCCCCACCCTCCGCGGGAAGCCTGCGATCCTACCACCTGCCCTGTCCTGGCACAAGGACAGGGGCGGACGCTGGTTCCGCGAGGGACGGGTCCCCTCCAGAACACGCCCCATCCGCGACCCGGCGAGAAGCAGCGGAGAGGGAGCGGGAGGGCAGTGCCCCATCCCAGCACACCTCACCCATCCCAGCACACCCAGCACATCCCAGGGAGGGAGGGAGGGAGGGAGGGAGGGAGGGAGGGGGAGGAGGAGGAGGAGGAGGAGGAGGAGGAGGAGGAGGAGGAGGAGGGGGAGGAGGAGGAGGAGGATCGATCGATCAATCGAGCTCTAGGGCCGAGTTCGGGGCTACTGCGCGTCGATAAGAGCCCAACAGCATTATAACATCTATTTTGGCCCAGCTGTGGTCACTTTCTCGGCGGGGTGTGCAGGTGCAACTACGCTCAGGCCCTGCCTGCAACAGCTTTCCCCGCGCAGGGGTGCGCCGGCAGGGTGGCACCCGCACTCTCCGATGTCAGTCTCGCTTGCTGCCGCCTCCTGATCTTCTCGCTGTTGGGTATCCGTCGTCCCCACGCTTTCGGTGTCGCTCCGCTCCTCATCTGAGCTGACGGTATCCCCTGCAGGTGTCCGCCTGTTGTAGCAATCCGAACGATGAATCCATGGTCATTCTGCTCGAAAGCGCGCAGGTATGTCCAAGCAGCGACTGCCTCCTTGAGCCACTCTTCGATCCTGGCGCACATCAAATTGTCCGTGATTGCGTAGCCCTCCGATATTTGCCTTTTCACGCAGTCGTAGACGAGACCAGGGGATGCGTGCGGCATCTCGTGCACCGTGGTACCCTCGTTATCTTCGCGCCCCTGCGTGCCCAGCGTCTTGACCTGGTCGCTTCTCGTAGGCCGCGGTGTCCTGGCTGCTCAGCGTCTCGTCCTGGTCGGGAGGGTTCTGCTGCTCTTCGGGCGCGGTAATGCCCTTGGCGCCCAGCGTCTCTCCCTCGTGAGTATCGGAGTCCTTGTTGCCCAGCGTCTTCCCTTGGTCCGTGAAGCTCTGCTGTTCCTCGTGAGCCGCGGTGTCCTTGGTGTCCAGCTCCTCGTCCTGGTCCGCGAAGCTTTGCTGCTTCTCGTGCGTCGTGGTGTCCTTGTTGCCTAGCAGCTTGTCCTGGTCGAAGGAGTTTTGCTTCCTCTCGTGCGCCGTCATCTTCGTCGCGCTCAGCTTCTCCCTCTGGTCAGCGAAACTCTTCTGCTCCTCGTGGGTCGCCCCCTCCTCCTCAGGCTCCTTCTCCTGGTGCCATGCCGCCTTTTCTTTGTCTGGGGTGCCGAGGCCTGGTGGTGGCTCCAGTGAGAGTCGGCGAAGAATGCTTAGTGACGCTTGTTGCGATCTCCTGGCGTGCGTTCAACGTGCGCGGAGTCTTCGCAGCTGGCTGGTCGTCGGTCGGCAGTGCGAAGTTTCTTGGGTCACACTTGCGGGTGGCACGCTGAACTTCCTCTCCTTACCTGTCCAGGCCATTGGCATGTCGCGACATTCATGTCCTGTCATGCGGTCCGCCGCCCCACCTTTCTCATGTCACAACATGTGGAATCTCATGGTGGGTTTGCATGCTGCCCTGACAATCTCTTGGGCCCAAATGGCAGCTGGAGGAGGAGGGGGAGGAGGGGGAGGAGGAGGATGATGAGGAGGAGGAGGAGCAGGAGGAGGAGGAGGACGAGGAGGAGGGGGGGAGCAGGGAGGGAGAGGGAGGAGGGACCCCCACCCACTCCTGAGGAGCGAAACAGCGGCGTAAACATGAACGTCTTTCGGACCTCGGGTGCCGCCACTGTCGCGCTCCGCGCGCCAGGGAGGGGGTCCAGCGCCGATCCAAGCAATCCGAGCGGACCTCCGAAAGTTCAGGTTGATGCAGCTTTTTCTTGTTCTGAGGAAGCAGCGGGGAGGGACCCCCACCTCGGCGAGGCGTCGGGTTGCGCGCGTACAGGCTGCCTCAGATAGCTCCGGCTGGCCCCGCCAGGTTCCTCGTAGCCCGCGGCTGTCTCAACGTCCTGGTGCCGCCTCCGGCGGCGCCCCTGGGGAGACGGGCAACTGCTCCAGACTGCTTACTCGGTGAGCCTGTTGCGGCAAGCCAGGACCACCTGGGGGCGCTGTCTGCGTGCAGCCCGAAGCGTCACCAGGCGGGGAGGCTGGGAGCGGGCGAGACGCCCTCAGCACGTTTTGTTCCTCGTGGACAGCTGCCGCGGCCGTTTTTTCGGGAGCGTTCGGCCCCCAGGGTCCCTTGCCGGGCCCAGGGGCGTCCAAAAGCTGGCCCGGGATGAAATCGCGGTCGCGGGGGGTCCACGTCGTGGCAAAGATCGTGGCGTCGGAGTCCCGGGGAGGGAGGCGGGGGATGGGTAAGCGGGGGGCTGGTGACGAGGAGGAGGAGGAAGGAGGGAGGAGGAGGGAGCCAGAGCGAGTAGGATGGTTTCGTCGTCGTTGTCGTTCTCCTCCTCCTTCTCGTCCTCCTCTTTCTCCTCCTCATCCTTCTCCTCCTCTTCCTCCTCCTCCTCCTGCTCCTCCTCGTCTCCTCGTTTCCTCCTCCTCCTCCTCCTCCTCCTCCTCCTCCTCCTCCCTCCTCTCGTTTCGGTGACCCAGGCGGGCAACGTCCTGCAGTCAGGCACAGTGGGCAGGGGAGGGGCGGCCTGAAGACCCAGGAGGTGCCCCCTTCCCCAGCAGACGAGTAATGAGGCGCAGGCATGGGGCATTGCGTCCCCTCCGCACTCCCTTCCTCCGACGCTCCCCCCTTCGCATCTCTCCCATCCTTCCTTCCTTCCTTCCTTCCTTCCTTCCTTCCTTCCTTCCTTCCTTCCTTCCTTCTGTTCCTCTGTCCCTTCCTCCTCCTCCTCCTCCTCCTCCTCCTCCTCCTCCTCCTCTTGCTCTGCCTCCTCTGTTCCCAGCTGGAGCCTTCTCGCAGAGCTCGGACTTTATCCGATGCCCTCCTTGTCCTCCTCCTCCTCCTTCTCCCTCCTCCTCCTGTCCCCGCCTCTTCCTTGTCCTGCGTCCTCCTCCGGTCTCGACGGTGCACTTCGAAACGAAGTCGAAGGAAGCGGGGTCGGGAAATGGAAGGATGAGGAGGATAAGGTTACTCTAAGTACAGGAGGATATGATGATGCTGATGATAATGATGCTGATGATGACTCTGCTGCTGCTGATGATGATCATGCATCTGCTGCTGATGATGATGACGATGATGATGAGGAGGAGGAGGAGGACGAGGACGAGGAGGAGGAGGAGCAGGATGAGGAGGAGCAGGAGGAGGAGGAGGTGGAGGAGGAGGAGGAGGAGGAGGAGGAGGAGGAGGAGGAGGAGGAGGAGCAGGAGGGGGGATGGAGGGAGGGATGGAGGGAGGGGGTGAGGTCGAGGAGAGGGCCCCGGCCTGTACAGATACCACTGGGGTGCTGCAGCTTTGGGCAGATCACCCGCGCTCGCTCCTGCCGCGGGGCGGCAGGCACCGCGGGCGCTGTCCGGGGAGTTCTGCGCGCTGGCGATCTCCGAGGCCGAGGCCCTCTCGCGCCCGGTGGTCGTCATCATCGAGGCGCGGGCGGCGGTGCGCACGGTGGGCGGACTGTGCGTGTCTGTGGCTGTGAAGGGGAGGAGGCGGAGGAGGAGGAGGAGTAGTAGGAGGAGGAGGAGGAGGAGGAGGAGGAGGAGGAGGAGGAGGAGGCGGAGGAGGAGGAGGAGGAGGAGGAGGAGGAGGAGGAGGAGGGTGACGACCCCTCCCTACTCTCGCAGTTGATTTTGTTTACGTCTGTGTCTCCCAGCTCGCCGCCCTGGTACTTCACATCCCGCGCAGAGATGCCATTTCATGTCTTTACCTTCCGATTGCTGTCGCAGCTCACTTAAGGCCCCTCCTGCTGTTGTCTCCTGCGGCCGCCGTCGCTGTCGTCTCGTCTCTCCCTCTCCTCTCACCTTTCCCGCTCCTGTTGGCCGTCGGTCTCTCCTCCCCCCTCAGGGGTCGTCCCTCGCTGTTGGCTGGTGAACTGTGTGCTCCCGTGTGTCCGCTCGCCGATACATGCGAGTTCAGCGATCGCCTCCTACGGCTTGTCACCTCCCCTCCCCACCCCTCTTCTCGCCCGTCGGTGCTGCTTGCTGGCGGGCCGAACACTTTGCTCACACTCGGCAGTCTCTGTTTACCTGTTACCTCTTAGCTGGTCAATTTTACACCACCAAGCCACCCGTGTAGTGCTCTGCATTCTCGTACCCCTTGGTCTTACATCGGTGGGGGACATGGTTCATTGTTCGCGGTGGAGGTGGAGGCGGAAGAATTTGAACTGGACGAGAGGTCAAGTACACGATGTCATCTGCCAGTTTCTGTTCCCAGCTGCTTATGCAGCGGCTACAGTTGCGCCCCATCGTAGCGGTCTTGTGTTCGCAGGGCAGCACACGTTACTACAACCTTTGGCCAGCCAGTACCGTCTGAGCCAGCCACTATGCATCGACATTCGCAGAGGATGATTAAGGCTACTGGTTCTTGCACGCATTCTCTTCTCGACGGCTGCCCCTCAACTTCAAGTTGCCAGCACTCAAGATTTTCTTGGCCGCACCTTGAGCACTGACCCAGAACACTATGACTCGGCCAGCCTCTACTCTCAGCTGCTAGTACGTCGAATACAGTGAGTTGCGATTTCGCCACTTCGGTAGGGGAATGATCTCAGGACACTCTCACTGTGGACAAAAAGCGTTACATTTCTTTAAACATTTTCGCCAGCCAGTACCATCTGAGCCAGCCACCTGCATCAGTATCAGTTTGCTCTGCCGCACAGGCCAGCCAGTACAATCTGGCAAGACTAAGCTAGGGGTGATTGGGTAGCGTCAGGGCAGGGGAGGGTCATCTGGGGTGGTCGGGGTGGGGCGTTTCTGGCACACATGGCCATTTGGCCTTCGGCAGAGGGCGTTCACCCTACTGAGGGCCGCCGAGTGCGACTAGCTGACTTTCGCCTGACACATACGCCACCTCCCATCGCCTACACACATTGCTCTCTCCTTCTCCTGTGATTTCAGCCTGCCCCTACACCTGGCTCATTTGCGCACTTGAGTTGACGAGTAGAAGTCCTTGCAGACAGGGGGGTTAACAAAAGCTACAATGGTGGCCACTGTGACGGGCCCCCCTCTAGGAACTGGAACGGTCAAGGGGTCGGCTCTCGAGGAACCGAAAAGACACGGGTAGCAACCCTAGAGTTGCCCCGCTTTTCTTTATGGTCTTATGTCTTCTACCAGGCCAGCCTGCGCTAGCCTGCGCTAGCCTTGGCAAGAACTCACCTGGGCATCAATCCATATTGTCACCAGTGCAACGTCTTTCTCTTTCTCGCTTTGCCATACCTTGATCACCTCCCCGCTTTGCCTCCTAGCCTCGCCTGTTTTGCCGCATTCTTTTGTTCACTTTTATCAAGACACGGCTTGCATGGACCAACTGATGGGAGGGCTGGGGGACAGGTATCTGGGCGGAGGAGGCTACTTTGGTCCGCGGCCTAATTTGTTTGCTCCTCTGCTTAGGTCCGCGTTTTTTTTGCACCGTCATTCACGCTTCAGGCACAGGCCCTAAGTCAGCGCGGCGTCAAACGGGAGGAGGAGGAGGAGCATGACCAGTGTAAACCAAATGTTCGAAGGAGCGTGTTCTACCGCTGGTGGCGGAAAACCGGGGGGGTCACTGGGGGTTTCTAACCCGTCCCCCCCCCCCTCGCAAACCGGGGGGGATCACTACCAATTCGAACCCCCCTCTCCAGTCCATCATGAAAAGGGGCGGGGTCACTACCGGTTCGAACCCCCCCCTCGAAAACCGGGGGGGTCACTACCGGTTCGAACCCCCTCTCCCCCCCCTCGAAAACCGGGGGGGGTCACTACCGGTTCGAACCCCCCCTCCTCCGGCAAACGATGCCCGCTCCTCGGGACAGTTGGAGATTGGTGGGGATGTTGGGACAATGGTGGGAACGGTGGTGGTGGGGACAGTGGTGCGGGGACAGTGGGACAGTGGTGCGGACAGTGGTGGGGACGGTGGTGGTGGGGACAGTGGTGAGGGGACAGCGGGACAGTGGTGGGGACAGTGAGACAGTGGTGGGGACGGTAGTGATGGGGTCAGTGGTGAAGGCGGTGGTGAGGACAGTGGTGGGACAGTAGTACAGTGGGGAAAGTGGTGGGGACAGTGGGGACAGTGGGACAGTGATGGGGGCAGTGGGGACGGTGGGACAGCACAGTGGGAGCAGCGGCGGGGACAGTGGGACAGGAGTGGGAACAGTGGGGACAGTGGGACAGTGGCGGGGACCGTGGGGAAAGTGGGGAGAGTGAGATTGTGGTGGGACAATGGTGGGGAGAGTGGGGACAGTGAGACACTGGTGGGGGCACTGGTGGGGACAGCGGGGACAATGGTGGGAACAGTGGGGACTGGGACAGTGGTGGGGACGGTGTGATGGGGACAGTGGTGTGGAGACAGTGGGAATGTGGTGGAAACAGTGGGACAGTGGAGGGTACAGTGGTGGTGGCGACAGTGGTGAGGGCGGTGGCGAGGACGGCGGTGTGATAATGGGACAGAGGTACAGTAGGGACAGTGGTGGGGACAGTGGGGACAGTGGTGGGAACAGTGGGACAGCTCAGTGGGACAGCGGCGGGGACAGTGGGACAGTGGGACAGTGGTGACAGTGGGACAGTGGTTTGGGCCGTGGAGAAAGTGGGGAGAGTGGAACCGTGGTGGGAACAGTGGTGGGGACAGTGGGGACACTGCGACCATGGTGGGGGCACTGGTGAGGACAGTGGTGACGGTGGTGGGAATAGTGGGGACAGTGGTGATGAGGACAGTGGTGCTGGGGACAGCAGTGGGGGATGTGGTGCAGAGGGTGGTAGGGACCCAGAGTTAGCTGTTTGCTGGCGGTGAGCATGGGGGGGTGGGAGGGGTTCGAACCGGTAGTGACCCCCCCCGGTTTTCGAGGGGGGGGGGTTCGAACTGGTAGTGACCCCCCCCCCGGTTTTCGAGGGGGGGGGGTCGAAGCGGTAGTGACCCCCCCGATTTTCGAGGGGGGGGGGTTCGAACCGTCTCGAACCGGTAGTGACCCTTCCCGGTTTTCCGGTGGGTGGGGGTTCGAGCCGGTAGTGACCCATCTCTTGTTTTCTTGGGGGGGGGGTTCGAACCGGTAGACCCCCCCCGGTTTTCGAGGGGGGAGGGGGGGGGGTCGAACCGGTAGTGACCCCGCCCGGTTTTCCCAGGGGGGGGTCGAACTGGTAGTGACCCCCCAGTTTTCCGGAGGGGGGGGGTTAGGGGAGGGGGGGGGGTTTGCCAGGGGGAAGGGCGGGGGTCCAGCAGGGGGGGGGGATTTTCGGCGGGGGGGAGATCCCGGGGTTCCAGAGGAAGAGGGGAGGGAATTTTCAACAGTAAAGCGGCGGTGGATCACGCTCTCTCAAATATTCTTTAACGAGGTTGGAATAAACAGTCCTTCCAAGCTCCCTCTTCATAGGTCCGTACAAGAGTTCGCTGCTACTCGGGAAAGGGCCCCGTTTGGAGACAAGCGTTGGAATATCCTGAAGCGTGCCAAAGCACCATTCTCGGAACTTCAACCCCACGAATCAACTTGACTGTGATGTCTTGAGGATCCTGGATCGTGCCAGAGCCTCGTTCTTGGGATTTCAACGCAGCGAATCAACATGACTGTTGTTCCCTGACAGTCCTGAATCGTTCCAAAACATTGTTCCGGGTACGTCAGCAATGGAAATCCGTATAACATTCTTGAGGCGATTGTGCGCGGCGCTACGGCGATAACCGCATTTTGAAAAGGAACCGCCATCCATCCGTGAAGCTCATGCAAACTGTAAGACGAGCGTGCGCGGGGCTAAAACGTCAGCCACTGTTGGACAACGGCCCGCTCTCAATTCTTGAAGCTCGTGGCACATTTGTACGACGAGTGTGCGTGGCGTGAAGGCGCTAGCCATATTGTGAAGTCGAGCCGGTTTCCATCCGTGAAGCTCCTGCGAACTTTATAGACGAATGTGCGTGGTGCTAAGACGAGGGCCACATTTTGAAACTGGCCCGTTTTCAATCTGTGAGTTCCGTTTTGAAGATGAATGTGTTCGGCGCTAAGGCGAGAGCCACATTTTGGAAACAAATTGCCCTCCATCCGTGGAGCTCTTGCAGGTTTTTATGTCGAGTGTGCGCGTTGCCTCGGCGAAAGCCACATTCTGGAAGCTGCCCGCCCTGAATCTGTGAAACGGTCGCCGAAGTTTATACGTTACGATCATTAACGGGGAGGACGTCTCACGCGAATTGCTTGGCCCGCCCTTTCGACCAGCCTCGGGGTGCGACAGGGAGGTGTTACAATCTTTTAAGGCAATGGACTGGACGAGGAGGAGGAGAAGCAGGAGGATGTGGAGGAGGAGGGGGAGGAGGAGGAGGAGGAGAAGGACCAGTGTAACCCAAGACACTTCGGCGAGGTTGGAATCCACCTTCCGTCCAAGGTCCTCTTCAAGGTCCCTCTTCATTGCCCCGTAGGGGGGCAACCGTTTGAAAATCATGCAGCGTACCAAAACACCCTCCCCAGGGGTCCAACGCCACGTCTTAATTTGACTGGTACGCCTTGGCGATCCTGAGTCGTGCCAGAACACCATTCCTGGGACTTCAACACCGCGAATCAGCGTGATTGTTGCGCCGTGACAAGTCTGAATCGTGACAGGATACCATTCCTGCTACGCTAATCATGAGAATCGCTGGCACTCTTTCGTTTGCTATAACGAATATGCGCGGCGCTAAGGCGCGAGCCACATTTTTGAAAACGAGCCACCTTGCATCCGTGAAGCTCTGTTTTTTTTGCACGAGTGTGCGCGGCGCTGAAACGCGAGCCACTTTTGGAAAGCGGCCCGCCTTCAAGTCGTGGGAAACTTGCATAACAAAAATGATGGTGCGCGGTGCTTAGGCAAGAGCCACATTGTGAAAACGAGCCGCCCTCAATCCGTGCAGTTCTTCGATTTTCTAAGACGAGTGGTCGCGGCGCTAATGCAAGAGCCAAGATTTGGAAACGAACCGCCCTCAACCTGTGAAGCTTTTGCAATGTTCTAAAACGAATGTGCGCGGCGCTAATGCGAGAGCCAGATTTTGAAAACCGCCCACCCTCAATCCGTGAAGCTCTTGGAAGCAACCCGCCCTCCATTCGTGAAACTGTTGGCAACTTTTAATCTTCTGGCTCATGATTTGTGAAGAAGTCTCAAGCGAAACGCCCCGCCCGCCCTTTCGACCAGCTTCGGGCTGCGACAGGGACGAGTTATTTACAAGGTAATATAATGGAAGAGAAGGGGGAGGAAGGAAAGGCGGAGGAGGAGGAGGAGAAGGAGGAGGATGAGGAGGAGCGGAGGGGGAGGTGGCGGAGGAGGAGGAGGAGGAGGAGGAGGAGGCGCCATTCGACCCGACCGACGAGGAGGAGGAGGATGAGGAGGAGGAGGAGGAGGAGGAGGAGGGCGAGGAGGAGGAGGAGGAGGAGTAGGAGTAGGAGTAGGAGAAGGAGAAGGAGGAGGATGAGGAGGAACAGGGTGATAGTGATGGTGATGGTGACGGTAATGGGACTTGTGATGGTGGTGGTGGCGATGGTAGTGGGGAGGAGGAGGAGGAGGAGGAGGAGGAGGAGGAGGAGGAGGAGGGGAGGAGGAGGAGGAGGAGACATAGGAGGGGGGACGGAGATGCGGGGAGGAGGAGGAGGAGGAGGAGGAGGAAGAGGAGGAGGAGTAGGAGGAGGAGGAGGATGATGAGGGGGAGGAGGAGGCGGGGACTGGTGTGGGCCTGGGTTTCACCGACGGTGTAACAGTGAACCATCCCTCTGGGTTCCCTTTCCGTTGAGGGAAGTGCCCCGTTGGAAGAAAACCGTTCGAAATCCAGAACAGCACCAAAACACTATTCATGGGATTTCGATGCCGCGAGTCAGCGATACTGATGCGTCCTGACGATCTTGAACCGTGCCAGAACACAATTCCTGGGACTTCAACGCATCGAGTCAACGTGACTGTTGCGCCCTGACAGTCCTACATAGTGCCCAAGCACCATTTTTGGGAAGCCAGCCATCAGAAACCTTCATTCCCAACCATCCTGTGGTGTTGGGTCCTCGTTTTGAAGAGACAGTCCCCGCGTTCCTCTCCTCTCCTCCTCCTCCCCCTCCTCCTCCCTCCTCTCGTCACCCCCTCACACACGTTTCGTGGCCCCATAGGGAGCTCCACCGAAGGCCCCAGTGGCAGGGTTCGCATGTGGTTCCCCGCCCATTTCGGCACACCCCCCACACGTTTCGTGGCCCCAAAGGGAGGTCCACCGAATGCCCCAGTTGCAGGGCATGCATGCGGTTCCCCGCCCATTTCGGCACATCCCTCACACGTGTCGTGGCCACATTGGGAGCTTCACCGAAGGCCCCAGTGGCAGAGTTCGCATGCGGTTCCCCGCCCATTTTGGGAAATCGTGGCCCCATAGGGAGCTCCACCGAAGGCCCCAGTGGTAGGGTTCGCATGCGGTTCCCCGCCCATCTCGGCACACCCCTCACACGTTTCGTGGCCCCAAAGGGAGCTCCACCGAAGGCCCCAGTGGCAGGGTTCGCATGCGGTTCCCCGCCCATTTCGGCACGCCCCTCAAACGTTTCGTGGCCTCATAGGGAGCTCCACCGAAGGCCCTAGTGGCAGAGTTGGCAGATGATGATGATGATGATGGCGATGTTGACTGACGATGATGATGGTTGATGATGATGAGGATGCTTATGAGGTTGTTGATGACGGCGACGATGATGCTGCTGATGATGCAGCTGATGATGCTGATGATTCTGAGGATGCTGCTGATGATGATGGTTATGACGATGTTGCTGTTGATGATGATGCTGATGCTGATGATGGCAATGCTGCTGAGGATGATGATGAATGATGATGATGCTGATGATGATGTTGCTGATGATGGTTCTGCTGATGCTGATGCTGATACCGATGTTGCTGATGATGATGATGATGATGTTGTTGATGATGATGAATCTGATGATTATGATGATGCTGATGCTGATGATGATGATGATGCTTTGGATGATTACGACGATGATGATGATGATGATGCTGCTGCTGTTGATGATGATGATGATGATGATGATGCTGATGCTTTGGATGATCATGACGATGATGCTGATGATGCTGATGATGCGGATGATGATGACGATGATGATGATGATGATGCTGATGATGATGATGAAGACGATGATGATGATGATGATGATGATGATGATGATGAAGCTGTTGATGATGATTATGACGCTGATGCTGATGATGATGAAGAAGATGATGGTGATGATGCTGTTGTTGATGACGATGATGATGATGATGATGATGCTGCTGCTGATGATGATGATGATGATGATGATGATGATGATGATGATGATGCTGCTGATGATGATGATGATGATGATTATGATGAGATGATGATGATGCTGATGCTGCAGATGATGATGATGATGATGATGATGATGATGATGGCTGATTGATGATGATGTGATGATGATGATGATGATGATGATCGATGATGATGATGATGATGATGATTATGAGATGATGATGATGCATGAGGATGATGATGATGATTATGATGATGATGATGATGATGATGATGATGATGATGATGATGATGATGATGAGATATGATGATGATGAGATGATGATGATGATGATGATGATGATGATGATGATGATGCTGATGCTGATGCTGGTGCTGCTGCTGCTGTGATGCTGATATGATGATGATGAGGAGAGGAGGAGGAGGAGGAGGATGAGAGGAGGATGATGATGATGATGAGGAGGAGGAGGAGGAGGAGGAGGAGGAGGAGACGTGCGGGGAGGAGGGGAAGGGGAGGAGGAGGAGAGGTGGAGGAGGAGGAGGAGGAGGAGGAGGAAGGAGCGGCAGGAGGAGGAGGAGGAGGGAGGAGGAGGAGGAGGAGAGGAGGAGGAGGAGGAGGAGGAGAAGAGGAGGAGGATGAGGAGGAGGAGGAGGAGGAGAGGAGGCGGAGGAGGAGAGGAGGAGGAGGAGAGGAGGAGAGGAGGAGGAGGGGGAGGAGGCGAGGAGGAGGAGGAGGAGGAAGAGGAGGAGGAGGAGGAGGAGGAGAGGAGGAGGAGGAGGAGGAGGAGGAAGAGGGAGGAGGAGGAGGAGGAGGAGAAGGAGGAGGATGAGGTGTGGAACACGGAATGGGGCTAAGAAGCGGACGCGCGGAGTGCAGGAAGCCGAGTGCGTGGGGAAGGCAACGCACGGCGAGGAGACGGGAGCAGAGCCCCCTTCCCCTCGGCAGGCGCTGGAGGCCGCCCCGCAGGCCTCCCTGGCGATCCGCCAGTGCCTGTCGGAGGCCGCGCCCGAGCGCGCGCCGCCCTCCGCGAGGGGGAGGACGAGGAGAGATCAGGAGAGAGGTGGTGAGGGGAGGGGGGGAGGGGAGGGGGGGAGGGGGGGGAGGGCGGGGGGGGGGGGGAGGAGGGGGGGAGGGGGAGGGGGAGTGAGGGCAGGATCAAGGAGGGGAGGGAGGGAGGGGGGGGGGAGTGATTGAGGGAGGGAGGCCGAGGAGGAGGAGGACCAGTTCAAATCCGGGACTCGTCAGCGATGTTGAGATACGCCCTACCTCCAAGCTCCTTCTTCATAGGCACCGTACAAGGATTCACTTCCACTGAGGGAAGTGCCTCGTTGGGAGACAAGCGTGTGAAAAGCTTGAAGTATGCAAACACCGTTCTCAGGACTTCAGCGCCACGAGTCAACCTTACTGTTGCGTCATGACGGTCCGGAGTCGTGCCAGACCACCATTCGTAGACTGCAACTCTGCGAATTACGGTATATGTTGCGCCCTGACAATCCCGAACCGCTTGAAAACACAATTTCTGGCAGGTGAACCATGCACATCCATGACCCTCGCATTTGTTAAGACGAATGTGCGCGGCGCGAAGGCGAGAGCCACATTTTGATTTGGACTCGCCCTCAATCAGTGAGACCCTTGCGAATTTGCAAGACGAGTGTGCGCGGCGCCAAGGCGAGAGCCACATTTTGAAGACCACCCGTCCTCACTCCGTGAAGCTCTTGTACATGTTGAGGACGAGTATGCGCTGCGCTAAGGCGCTGTGGCGAGAACCGCATTTTGAAAGGCACCCGCCCTCAATCCATGAAACTCTTGCACATCTGTAGGACGAGTGTGCGCAGCGCCAATGCGAGAGCCACATTTTGAAAATCACCCGCCCTCAACCCGTGAAGCTCTTGCAAATGTATACAACTGTGCGCGGCCTTGAAGCTGTTGCCAGTTTCTAAGCTTCGGGCTCATATATGGTAAGGAAGTCTCGGGCGAAACGCCCAGCCTGCCCTTCCGACTCGCCTCGGGTTGCGACAGGGAGGAGTGATTCATGAGACAAAAAAAAGGAGGAAGAGGAGGAGGAGGAGGAGGAGGAGGAGGAGGAGGAGGAGGAGGAGGAGACGGAGGAGGAGGAGGAGGAGGAGGAGGAGGAGGAGGAGGAGGAGGAGGAGGAGGCGGAGGAGGAGGAGGAGGAGGAGGAGCGGAGGAGGAGGAGGAGGAGGAGGAGGGGGAGGAGGAGGAGGAGGAGGAGAGGAGGGAGGAGGAGGAGGAGGAGGAGGAGAGGAGGAGGAGGAGGAGGAGGAGGAAGGAGGAGGAGGAGAGGGAGGAGAGGAGGAGGAGGAGGGAGGAGGAGGAGGAGGGAGGAGGAGGAGGAGGAGGCGGAGGAGGAGGAGGAGGAGATGAGGAGGAGGAGGAGGAGGAGGAGGAGGAGTAGGAGGAGGAGGAGGAGGAGGCGGAGGAGGAGGGAGGAGGAGGAGGAGGAGGAGGAGGAGGAGGAGGAGGAGGAGGAGGAGGAGGAGGAGGAGGAGGAGGAGTGAGGAGTGAGGAGGGAGGAGGAGGAGGAGGAGGAGGAGGAGGAGGAGGAGGAGGAGGAGGAGGAGGAGGAGGAGGAGGAGGAGGAGGGAGGAGGAGGAGGAGGAGGGAGGAGGAGGAGGAGGAGGAGGAGGAGGAGGAGGATGAGGGAGGAGGAGGAGGAGGAGGAGGAGGATGGAGGAGGAGGAGGCGGAGGAGGAGGGAGGAAGGGAGGAGGAGGAGGAGGAGGAGGAGGAGGAGGAGGAGGAGGAGGAGGAGGAGGAGGAGGAGGAGGAGGAGGAGGAGGAGGAGGAGGAGGAGGAGTGAGGAGGAGGAGGAGGAGGGAGGAGGAGGAGGAGGAGGAGGAGGAGGAGGAGGAGGAGGAGGAGGAGGGAGGAGGAGGAGGAAGAGGAGGAGGAGGAAGGAGGAGGAGAGGAGGAGGAGGAGGAGGAGGAGGACGAGGAGGAGGAGGAGGCCGAAGAGGAGCCGCTGCCTCTCGCGGCGGGCTCCCCCCCCCTCCCAGCCCCGTCAAGGGCAGGGGCCGGGCGCGGCGCCCGCGAGCGGCGTCGGGCAGTGCCGAGACGAACAGTTGCAAGCTCCCGCCCAGCACTCCGCCACGAGCTCGCCGCTCGGCGGCGTCCAGCGCCGCTCACGAGGACTGCGCGGGCCCAGCTGGGTCCGAGGCCATCGCGCGCCGCGGCGCGTGCAGAACCAGCTGCTTGCTGAGGCGTGGGATGAGGTTCAGGACCCATGGACGTCCCCCGCTCGGCGGAGGCCGCGGTGAGCTGCGGATCCTACCAGCAGCGCGCCGACGCGAGCCAGCATAGCCGAGACGGCAATCGGAAGCGCTGCGTCGGGAGCCATGGGACCTGGAACAAGCGCGCGCAGGGCAATAAGTAGAGCCAGCGGCACCCGCACTGGAGCCACCAGCGCGGCTACTGGAGCCAGCGGCGCGTCACCAGTAAAGGTAGGTAGATGCTACGAATATGATTTCTACACTATAGACTTGTACAACAAGAGCCAGTGCCATGGGTCGTACTACGGCTACTGGGAAGACAACCTCTTGGAACGGCGGCAGGACGACCATCTGCGTAACGAGCAGCTTCACGATCGCGCCAACAGCAGCGACAGTCGCAGGGACGAGGATCATGAGGAGCAGGCCGCCCAGCGCTCCGAGCCCAGGCCCGAGCAGGTCGTCAGACCTCGGCCCGAGCAGTGCGTCAAACTGCCCCGGCCCGGGCATGTCAGCGACGACGATGACGACGACGACAGGAACGACGCGAGACGCGGACGATGACGACGACCGCCCACGACGAGGGAGGATCAGGTTGGAGCAGGAGGAAGACCAGCGTAAACCTAGATGTTGCATTGACCCCCCTAAAGTGCCCACTTCACAGGCCCCCTGCAAGAAATTATCTTCATTCCGGGAAGTGCCCCTTCGGAAGACAGCCGTCTGAGAATCCTAAAATGTGCCAAACCACTGTTCCTGGGACTTCAACGCCACGAATCAACGTGACTGTTGTGTCCTGATGGTCTTAAATCGTGGAGGAAAGGGTGTTTATCGAGAGGGAATAGTGATCAGGCTACCCACTCGCCTGCAAGCCGTCTAGCTCACTCCCACCCGCTCCTGTGACTTCAACACAGCACATGAACGTGATTGTTGCGTCCTGACAGCCCTAAATCGTGCCATAACGCCACTCCTCTGACTTCAGCCAAACGAACCCTTGAAACTGCTGCAACCTGTTCATTAAGGCGAATGTGCGCGGCGCGAAGCCGAGAGCCACAGTCTGAAAGGGAACCGCCCCCCATCCGTGAAACCGTTGCAAGCTGTTGAGAAGAGCGTGCGCGGCGCCAAGGCGAGCGCCACATTCTGAAAACTGCCCGCCCTCCGTCGTTCCAGGACGACTGTGCGCGGCGCTGAGGCGAGAACCACATTTCGAACGCCACCCCTCCTCCTCTTCCTCCTCCTCCTCCTCCTCCCGCCCTCCGTCTTTGCATCTGTTGCAGATATCAGGCTTCAGGATCCGAAATGGCAAGGACATCTCAGGCGAAGCGACTGTCCCGCCTCACCGACATGTTTGGGGGTGCGACGGGGAAGAGCTCTCTGTAAGAAGAGGGGTGTAGGAGGAAGGGAGGGAGGAAGACAAGCTAGGGCCATATCTCACGTTCTACCCCTCCCTCCCATCCCTTCCCATGGCGTAGATCTTTTCTCTATTCGCACAATCGGATGTCGTAGCATGGCATAGTATTACATGGCATAGCATGGTGTTGAAGATCAATGCGTAGCATCACATAGCATGGCGTGGCGACGCCCCAAAGTGGGGGGGCTTCTGCGGCCGAACAAATCAACGAATCGACACCGAATGTGTAATCAATTCCGATCGTTTCTTCGGGGGGTCATTTTCTAGATTTTGGGGCCTATTTGGAAGGACCAGAACCATGCCGTGGCATGGTACTGGAAATAATGACGCCATCGCTGCAGCGGGAGCACGATTCGGAACGAGCGGAAGCGCAGAAATGAGGCCAGCGCTGCAGCGGGAGCACGATTCGGAACGAGCGGTGGCCCGAAAATGAAGCCAGCGCCTCAGCGAGAGCAGCATGTGAAAAAAAACCCAAGCGAAAACCCGTTTCCCGGGACTCCTGTGTGTTAAAAAACAGTGCGCGGAGGGGGGCCAGCCATTTCCCGGACGTCTCCAGGGGAGAGAGGAGAGTAGTATTCATTCTGTGTAATTGTGGAGGAGGAGGAGGAGGAGGGGGAGGAGGAGGAGGAGGGAGGAGAGGAGAGAGGAGGAGGAGGAGGAGGAGGAGGAGGGAGGAGGAGGAGGAGGAGGAGGAAAAGCAGGAGGAGGACGCACCTCGATCCTGGACCCTCGGGCCTCGAGCCTCGGGCCTCGACGGCGGCGACGTGGACCGCCCCACCCCGCCGCGTGCCAGGTCGGCGCTGTGGCGCCCGCGCGCGTCCTCCTCGTCGCGACCGCGGGGTGCGGCCGCCCGACCCGCGGGCGAGGAATCGCGCCGCTCCCTGGGCGGCCTCGAGCACCACCCTGTGGCGTTGGGCCTCCTCGCTCTGGAGGGACAGCGCCCCGCGCCTCGCCTCCTCCTCCTCACCTCTCCTCCCCCCCCCCCCCTCAGCCCGTCTCGCCTCGGCCCTCCCCTCCTCCCATGCCCCCCCTCAGCCCATACCCCCTGCCCTCATCCCCCCTTCCCTCGTCCCTCCCTCCCTCCCTCCCTCCCATCCCGGCCTCAGCTCTCGGCTCTGTCCACCACGCCGGCACGCCCCGCACGCGTTCTCCGTGGCCGCCGCGGGTCCTCCTCCGTCCTCCTGCTCGGCCCCGGGCCTCCAGCAGGGGGTCCGAGAAGAGGGTGTCGAGCGAGGTCGTAAGCCACGGAGGCTCCCGCTCGTCCTGAGTTGAGTGTACATCGGCGAAGAGCGTCCAGTAGCGCTCAACAGCGCTCAGAAGCGCCCAATAGCGCCGACTAGCGCTCAATGGCGCACAGTTGCACCCACAGAGCGCCGAATGGCGCCCACAGGCGCCATGTGGGCGAGATGCATCACGTCTACTTTACGCACTATTGGACGCACTATTGGGCGCCATGGGACGACCAGAAGCTTCCTTGCGTTGCTTCCTAAGGTTGGGATCGCGCCGCATCGCCGATGCGTCGGCGATGCGGAGCCGGGCCTTCTCCACGCCGATGGCGCCGATGCATCGCCGACGTCGCCGATGCTTCGCCGATGCATCGCCGATGTGAAGCCGGTATGCATCGCCGATGCCTTGGTGGTGCGGCGCGATCCTCCGACCCAATTTGCTCTGAGTTTTCTTTTTTGGGGGAGGCGGAGGAGGAGGAGGAGGAGGAGGAGGAGGAGGAGGAGGAGGAGGAGGAGGAGGAGGAGGAGGAGGAGGAGGAGGAGGAGGAGGAGGAGGAGAAGGAGGGGGGGCCGGTTGTAGTCGAGGCTCCTGGGGCTCCTGGCTTTTGCCCGAAGTGTCCGCCCGTCGACCCGCCCTGCCGCCGCCTCGTGCGCTGGCTCGGCGTTCTCCGGGCCTCCTGCCAGTTGCCACTGGGGGGCGTCTCTTCGGAGGTCGAGGCCGGCGGGAAGCTCGGGCCGGACGAAAGGGGGGGATCGGGAAAGGGGGGGGGGTACGAAATTTGCTGCACGCAGCTGGTTTCGGCCCCTCCGAGGGGCCCATTCCTCGACGCACAGTCGCCTCCAGCACCGGGAGGCGCCGGGAAAATAATCAGCTGCGCGAGCTGATTCTCACCCCCCCCTTTTGCTATCCCCCCCGTTCGCCCGACCCGAGAAACGGAGACCCAAGATCAGGAGATCGGGTTTGGTTCGGGTCCGTGCCGTTTTTTTTTTTTTTTTTTTTTTTTTTTTTTTTTTTTTTTTTTTTTTTTTTTTTTTTTTTTTTTTTTTTTCTTTTTTGTTCTCTCCGAGGTTTGTGAGGCCTCGGGTGCGAGGTTTTCGGAGTTCGAGGTGGAGGTCGGAGGTTTCTCGAGGTCGAGTCCTGGAGGTTCGAGGTCGAGGCTCGAGGTCCTCGGTCCTTCCTCCCTTGGTAGGAGTTTTTTTTGCGGGGGGTGATCCCGCTCTCTCTGGGCTTCCGCGAGGCGCCTCGTGGCCGCGGCCGGAGTCCCCTGGACAGGCCTGGGGAGTCGATCTGACCCTCGGCACCCGTGCCCCCTGCCGGGTCCCTGGGGCCGTCAGGGAACGGCTCAGGATGAAGAGCTGGTCGCATGGAGAGGAGCGAGGCCCAGGGAGAGGGTCGGGAGCAGAACAGCAAAAACGGGCGTGCGGGACGGAAATCTATCCCTGGGGAAGCGGTCGGGACCTCGGGGCCCACGGAGTGGAGCAATCGCATCGTCGGATGTTCAGGTCCTCGACCTTTGTCGAGGATCGTGTATCCATGCTCGATCGCCGATCCTCGATGATCCTCGATCGTAGGTGCTCAACGCTTTTCGCTCTTTTCGGGCCTCTGGGGGCCGCCAGGGTGCTTCTGGATGCCTCCGAGGACTTCCGGGGCCTACGAAGACCCCGCGGGACCTCTGGACATCATCTCTCTCCTTTTTTCCCCAGTGATGCCCGGTATGTTCGGCCGGATAAGTTCCAGGCTTCATACGTATCATTCGCCAGTTGGTTTTCTTCTCTCCTTCCTCCGCCTCCTCCTCCTGCTGCGCACGATATCAATTATGCGACCGCCGTCGTGCCGCCGCTCCCACAAAGCGGTGAGAATAGGCTGGACCTGTCTTCTTTCGCCCACGCGCTCGGGCGGATGGCGTGAGTGAGTGAGTGAGTGAGTGAGTGAGTGAGTGATCTTTTTCTTCTTTCTTTCCCTTCTCCTTCCGTCCCTCCTCCTCCTCCGCCTCCTCGCTTTCTTCCTCGCCCTCCTCCTCTCCCATTTTTCCCTCCTTGCTTCATGAAATCCTCCTCCTCATGCCCTTCGCTTTTTTACCACCCACTCCTCGTTATTCTAGACACTTCGCGTAGCCCCACCAACCCATCCAGAAACGATGCCCATGCGATTGCCCTGATCAGGGATGTTGAATGCAGTGGAATACAAGGGTTGGGTAAGACGTCGTACCCCAAGAGGGGGAGGATGGAGGAGTAATCAGAGGATGAACAGGTGGAGGAGGAGGAGGAGGAGGAGGAGGAGGAGGAGGACGAGGAGAAGGAGGAAGAGGAGGAGGAGGAGGACGAGCAGAAGGAGGAAGATGAGGAGGAGGAGGAGGAGGAGGAGGAGGAGGAGGAGGAGGAGGAGTAGGACGAGGAGGGGGAGGACAAGGACGAG